ATGACACCTGCATTTTGGGTGAATTTCTTTTACTGTTATATGCGTTTCTTCATTTTTTTAGTCATTAAATAATTATTTACTTTTGATCTTTTAAAAGAATAGTTAAGAGTCACAATAAAATATTATTATATATGTAATAAATTAAATATATTAAAATAAAATTACATAAAACACTAAATAATGTTTTTATGATAATAACTATTTTAAACACTAAACTAAAATTTACATGTTGAAATAAATAAAACATAATATTTTGGATTGTCTGCATATATTATTTAGAATTTTTAATTTCTAAACAATTTTTATAATTTAAAATTTATGAAGAGCCAAATTTTATTATTTGAATTCTACAAAATAAAATAATAAATTTCTATCTCATATAATTATTCTAAATATGTACAGTACTTTGGATCGCTTTATATCTGTTTTTCCCATTCAAACATAGTTTTGAACTGTTGGAACTACTAGATCCGCTTGATACGCACTTAATCCGCTCAATTCACTTGATCCGCTAGTTCCGCTTTTATCACGCTTGATCCACTCAATCTGCAACGCTCAATCGGCTTTCTCCATTCGGAGCCATAGACTCATATCACTGAGATTTATGGCGATGAAATAAAATAGACATTTGCAAAGATTTTGGGTTTTGTGCAAAAAAAACCTCAAACTATATTAGTTTTGCAAGAAAAACCCTCACCTCAAAAAAATCCAAGTCAAACCACTCATCTCCAAAGTGACCCCCAATATAGCCCCTGCCTATATTGATGACGTGATATTGTGAGAACAGTTTTTTTAAAAATAGGCTTTTGTGTAAAAAAAACCTCAAACTATTTTTTTTGCAAAAAGAGCCCTCGTATCAAAAAGCTGCGTTTTGATTAGCCCAGTACATTTGGGTTTTTGGGACGAGAATTAACGGAAATGGGACGGAAATGAGAAATTTGGGAACCCAAAGATGATACCCGAAGTATTTCCTTATTATAACGGGACAGGTAATAACGGAATGGGAAGAGAACGGGAAATTTGAGAATAAAAAAATAATTCCCGAAGTCTTACTAAATCGAGGAAATTGAAGATATTTTGAGAAATTACGGGGAAAATATGGAAAAAATGGAAAATAAGGAAAATTTGTGGAAAAATGTAGGACAAATTAGGATATTTAAAAAAAAATATATATTTTTGATTTTATATTCTTTTCAAACGGGAAAATCGGAATATTCCGTACCCTTTCCGAACCCTTCCCTTACCCGTTTGAATGAAATTTCCCGTTTGGAAACATTTCTTTTTCTTTTTTTCAAACGGGTAAACGAAGGGTTCGGTATGGGTACAAGACTTCCTGATTTTCCGTTTAAAAAAATAAAAAATTGAATTTTTTTTTCTTGATTTTTTTTTTTTTTTATATAAATATCCCAATTTTTTCTACATTTCCCATAATTTCACATATTTTTTTCATATTTTCCCGTATTTTCCCCGTAATTAACAAAATATCTTCAATTTTCCTTATTTAGTAAGACTTTAGAATTTTTTTTTATTCTCAAATTTCCCGTTTTCTTCTAATTCTTGTTATTTCCCGTCCCTTTTGTAACATCCATAAACCAAAAATTGAGAATTTTGTCTGTTTAATTTAAGTTATCCGGTTTAAGCTAGTTTAAGATTTATTGTTTTGCTTTATTTCATTTGAATTTGTTTAAGTTGTTAGACTCGTTTAATTATTATTTTTTGTTTCCATTGAAATAGATTGATATTATTATTTATTTAAATTATTTTAAAGACCTTCGCTAGAATTGATTAATATTTATTTTAAAAAAAAGTGTTAGTTGTTTCATTTTGGTATCAAAGCCTAGACGGTTTTAAGATTGTTAGAATTGCTAGGCTTTAGTATCATTCCCTTCAGCTACAGAAGATTCCGCGGTGAGTTTTATGTTGTGTTTGAGTTTTGTTTTGTGTGGTCTAGTTTACTCATTTCGGTTCCATAGAGTGAGATGGACGGAGTAGCTACAGGTCGTGGCGCAAGAGGGCGCGGTGCTTGAGCCCGTGGTGGCAGAGCTAGAGGCCGTAGAGGCCGGGGCCGAGATTGTGGACTTCCGGTGGATTCGGGAGAGAGTGCAGTGCCGAGTGTGGCGACTGCGTCGGTGACCTATTCGGTATCAGTGGCGAGTGAGGCTAGTGTAGATGTCAGTGTTGGTTTGAGAGCGGAGGCTGCTCCAGGTGGGGGTGGTGCTCCGGCTGCTCTAGGTGGGGGTGGTGCTCCGGCTGCTTGTCGTGATGACTTAGTGGTGGGTTTGCTAACACAGTTATTGGCTCAGTTTCCGCCAGTGGTTCCACAGGGGGCTCCGGTAGTACCTCCAATGGCAGAGGTGAAGCAGAGGGCTGCAGAGGTTGTTCAGCCGCAGGCTGCGGGTTTGGTGGTTCCACCCTATCTAGAGATGATTGGGCAGATATAGAGGATTGGTACGCCGTTCTTTGAGGATGTAGTGGGGCCGGAGGAGACCGGCGAGTGCTGTTTGAGACTCGAGCGGAATTTTTGGTCTATCAGTTGTCTGTTTAGTATCATGAGGAGTTAGATGTCAGACTTTGTAAATTCTTAGTATAGAATTGTTGTTGTGTATTGTCTGTTAGTCATTTTTATCTGTGATAGTCTTGTGGAGGTTCTCAACGCAATTGAATGTGTAGGGACCTTGTTAGTGGGCGGTTTTGAGTCCCACGTTTTATTCGACTCTGGAGCATCGAATTGCTTCATTACACCGGAGCGTGCCGAGAAGAGTGGCATCCGGAGTAGCGCGGGCGAGAGCGCGGGCATGGTCAAGGTGGCGGGAGGTGGATTCTTGTCTACTTTGGGCCGTGCTAGAGGAGTCGAGATCGAGATTGCGGGGCAGTCAATGCCAGCAGACTTAGTCATCAGTCCGGTGGAGCTGTATGACGTTATTCTCGGGATGGACTGGTTGTCACACTACAGAGTTCATCTGGATTGCTACAGAGGTAGAGTGGTCTTCGAGCGAGATGCAGGGAGGTTGGTTTATCAGGGAGTGAGACCGACTTCCGGGAGTATTGTGATATCTGCTATTCAGGCCGAGCAGTTGTTAGAGCGGGGCTGTGAGGCGTATCTGGCGACGATTTCTATGTCTGAGTCAGGAGCTGGAGTTGTTATGGGAGATATTGAGGTTGTCCAGGATTTTGAGGATGTCTTTCAGTCACTGAAGGGATTACCACCATCTCGGTCTGATCCTTTCACGATTGAGTTAGAGCCGGGGACAGCACCATATCGAAGACGCCTTACAGGATGGCGCCAGCTGAGTTGGCAGAGCTGAAGAAGCAGATAGAGGACCTTTTGTCTAAGGGGTTCATTCGACCAAGTGTTTCACCGTGGGGAGCACCGGTGTTGTTTGTGAAGAAGAAGGATGGCAGTTTCAGACTTTGTATCGATTACAGAGGTCTTAACCGAGTCACTGTGAAGAACAGGTACCCACTCCCGAGGATTGATGAGTTTGGATCAGTTGAGGGGTGCTACTTGGTTCTCCAAGATTGACTTGGCATCGGGGTATCATCAGATCCCGATAGATGAGGCAGATGTCAGGAAGACTGCTTTCAGGACGCGTTATGGGCATTTTGAGTTTGTGGTTATGCCTTTCGGTTTGACTAACGCGCCGGCAGCCTTCATGAGATTGATGAACGACGTGTTCAGGGAGTATTTGGATGTGTTCGTCATCATTTTCATTGATGATATTCTGGTATACTCGAGGAGTCAGGAGGAGCATGCGACTCACTTGAGGTTGGTTCTGGAGAAACTTCGGGAGCAGAAGCTTTTTGCTAAGTTGAGCAAGTGCAGTTTCTGGCAGCGAGAGATGGGATTTCTTGGCCACATTGTTTCTGCAGAGGGAGTTTCTGTGGATCCGGCTAAGATTGAGGCTATCAGAGATTGGCCTAGACCTAGTAGTGCCACCGAGATCAGGAGTTTTCTGGGTTTGGCAGGATACTACAGGAGGTTCGTCAAGGGGTTTGCTACCATGGCGCAGCCGATGACGAAGTTGACCGGGAAGGATGTCCCTTTTATTTGGTCAGCTGAGTGTGAGGAGAGCTTTAGTCAGCTCAAGGAGATGTTGACTACTACACCAGTGTTGGCGTTACCCGAGCCAGGGAAGCCTTACATGGTGTATACAGATGCTTCAGGCATTGGTCTTGGTTGTGTGCTGATGCAGGAGGGCAGAGTGATAGCATATGCTTCGAGACAGTGGCAGGGCAGTGAGCGTAACCGTCCTACACATGACTTAGAGTTGGGAGCAGTGATCTTCGCGTTGAAGATTTGGAGGTCTTACTTGCTAGGTGAGACAGTACAGGTCTTCACGGATCACAAGAGTTTGCAGCATATCTTCACTCAGCCGATGATGAACGCGAGACAGACGCGCTGGGTTGAGTTCTTGGCGGATTATCAGGTGAGCATTAACTACCATCCGGGCAAGGCTAACCTAGTGGCGGACGCGTTGAGTAGACGGAGGTATGATTCCGCAGTTGAGCGAGATGTGGAGTCTCTAGTTGGCGAGATCAGTACCTTGCGTTTGTGTGCCATTTCGCATGAGCCTTTGGGTTTAGAGGCGGTGGATCAGGCGGATCTACTTAGCAGGATCAGAGTTGCTCAGCAGAGTGATCAGAGTTTGCTAGATGCGACGAGAGTGACTGGTTCTGAGTATGAGGTCTCTGCGAATGGGACTATCTTGGTTCGTGGGCGAGTTTGTGTGCCTAAGGATGTGGAGTTGAGACATCAGATTTTGGGAGAGGCTCACGCGAGCAAGTTTTCCATTCATCCGGGAGCGACCAAGATGTACCATGACCTCAAGAGGTACTATCATTGGGTCGGGATGAAGAGGGATGTAGCAGATTGGGTTGCGAAGTGCAACACTTGTGCCTTGGTGAAGGCAGAGCATCAGGTTCCGGGTGGTCTTTTGCAGAGTTTACCCATTCCCGAGTGGAAGTGGGATAGGATTACGATGGATTTCGTGGTTGGACTACCTGTTTCGAGGACTTTCGATGCTATCTGGGTGATTGTGGATCGGTTGACTAAGTCTGCACATTTCTTGGCCATCAAGAAGACAGATGGAGCTGCTGTCTTGGCTAGGAAGTTTGTGCGAGAGATTGTGAGGCTGCATGGAGTGCCAGCTAGTATTGTGTCAGACCGTGATCCCAGATTCACTTCAGAGTTTTGGAGGGCGTTTCAGGCAGAGATGGGCACTAAGGTGCATCTGAGTACAGCTTATCATCCGCAGACAGATGGTCAGTCAGAGAGGACTATTCAGACTTTGGAGGATTTGCTGAGGATGTGTGTGTTGGATTGGGGTGGCCATTGGGCAGATCACCTGAGCTTAGTTGAGTTTGCATACAACAACAGCTTTCAGGCGAGTATTGGCATGGCTCCATTTGAGGCTTTGTATGGGAGGCCATGTAGGACACCCCTATGCTGGACCCAAGTGGGGGAGCGCAGCATGTATGGAGCTACTTATGTTCAGGAGACGACAGAGAAGGTTCGTGTTGTGAGGCTGAACATGAAGGAGGCTCAGGATAGGCAGAAGAGTTATGCAGATAGACGCAGACGAGAGCTTGAGTTTCAGGTTGGAGATAGAGTTTATCTCAAGATGGCTATGTTGAGGGGTCCTAACAGATCCATAGCAGAGAACAAGCTGAGTCCGCGATTTATGGGTCCGTTTCCAGTAGTGGAGCGAGTTGGGCCATTAGCTTACAGGCTGGAGTTGCCTGAGATTATGAAAGCCTTTCACAAGGTTTTTCATGTGTCGATGCTGAGGAAGTGTCTTCACCCTACAGAGGAGTTAGTGGCTAGGATTCCAGAGGATCTTCAGCCAGATTTGACAGTGCCGGCAGTGCCTATGAGGATTTTAGAGAGGAGGGAAAAGGTTCTGAGGAACAAGAGGATTCCCTTACTGAGGATTTTGTGGGATTGCAGTGGTTCTACAGAGGAGACTTGGGAGCCAGAGGCAAAGATGAAGTTGAAGTTCAGGAAGTGGTTCGACAAGCAGGTCGAGGAGTGAGCTTATTTCATCTTTGTAGCCTCAGTTGTTATTTTTGGCTTTGGTGTTATTGTATTTTCGTTTTCGTTGTAACGATATACATTTTGGAGTTTTAATGAGATGCAGTTTTTCCTCATTTTGCCTTGTGTTGTGAAAAGGTATTCGGATGTTACACATGTTTGACCAGTTTTTGGTTGTGAGACGGTCTAATCTTATGGTTATAGACATTTTCCGGAATTTTTACTCTAAGGATTGCGATCCTGAATAACTCATCATGTTTTTGGAGACTTCGTTCTCTGGCAGACTCTCTGGGTGCAAGTAGGCCTCAGTTGAGTGTAGCTTATATGGGTGCAAGTAGGCCTCAGTATAAGCAGTTTAGTTCATCTGGGTGCAAGTGGGCCTCAGTATGGACGTTTTCGGGTTCGTCTGGGTGCAAGTGGGCCTCAGTGCGGACCGGTGTGGACTTGTCTGGGTGCAAGTGGGCCTCAGTACAAGTTGTTTGGTGTGTTTGGATGATGAGTTAGGAGTGAAATTTTCTTGGAACGTGTTTATGACATAAGATATGACGTTTGTCTCGGGGATCAAGTGAGGATCTCCGGTGTTGCGGCCTTGCGAGGTTGGGTTTTGTGGTCTTTGTGACGTTTGCGTTGGGATTCGAGGACGAATCCAGTTTAGTGGGGAGAGTTGTAACATCCATAAACCAAAAATAAAAATTGGGAATTTTGTCGGTTCAATTTAAGTGAATTGGTTTGGGTCGGTTTAGTGGAGAAAGCCCTAAAATCAAGTTTAAAGAGTGCAGCCGTCTTCTCTTTGGAGAATTTTCGAGTTCAGATGCTGTAGAGGAGAAAAGTTGAGTTTTTGGAGAGATTTTCGAATTTTACTGTTCATCGGACTGTTCATCGGTACTGTTCACGGGTTACTGTTCATCGGTACTGTTCACGGGTTACTGTTCATCCGCGATTCGGCACTGTTCATCGTCTTCCTTTTTCCTTCAGTTTCAATCAATTGTCAAGGTGAGTGCATGACTGTGGGTCCGTGATTTGCTAGATTAGATTTGGTTTGTGGTTGTTCTTGATGAGTTTATGTTTTAATTGTTATTTTTATGATATTTTGGTTGTTCATGTGATGAATTGTGTGTTTGTGTGGTTTAATCTGGTTTATTGGTTTAATTGAATTTAATTGATTTGATTCTGGTTTATCTTGGTTCAATTGAATTTAATTGGTTTAATTGAATTTAATTGGTTTAATGGAATTAAATAGATTTAATTCGGATTTAATTAATTAAATAATATTTATTTAATTAATTGGTATTATTTTAATTATTTTAAAATATGGAAAATTATTATTTAATTATGAGAATTATTTAATAATTGAGAAATTGAGTTTTAATTATTAAAAATTATTTAATAATTGGAAAATGGTATTTAATAATTATTGAAGTTTATAAATATTATTAAATATCTAGTAAATTGCGTAAATGGCTCGTAGGCAGAGTGATTGCCTCACTAAGTATTTATTAAATACTTACGCAACTCCATTCCAATGTGTTGCAGGTAAAAGATTTGTGTGATCGCGGAATCAAGGCTGAAGAGGGGGATGATAGGATGTTTACTGTTTTATTGTTTTGCATTATTTTGCTAGACTTGTTTAATTATTATTTGCTTCCGCTGAGCTGATTTATTTGTTATTGATATTTTATTTATTTAATTTATTTTTAAGACCTTCGCTAGAATTGATTAATATTTATTAAAAAAAAAAAATGTTGGTTGTTCAAAACACATCACTTCCTTGTAGCTCGTACTTGACTCGTATCCCATACGCCCAATCAGAAGGTCCTCTTAGCTTCAACGGTGCAAGATTGTACTCAGTACTATAACCTTCACACTCCAACTTGCTTAAGTTGATCGCTTTCACAGATTCGAATCCGACCGCACAACACATGGGTGGACCCGACCCGGATGATAGACCCGGTTTCCTGTATCCGACCAAGTCCCATGCTGGACACGACATGTACTCTTCGCAACTCATTCCAGATATGTTGTGTGGCATGGCAGTTTCTTTTTGGGAAAGCCTAAGAAAATAGGAGTGGTAAATTAACCAATTTTAACCATATTAAACCGAACCCGAGTAGCAAATGTGTAGTAAATATCGGTTTGGTAAACAAATCGGTTTGGTTTTGTTATTATTTTGGTCAGGTGTTTACTACTATTTCTCTAGCCTTTTTAAAAAGTTAAAACATAGTAGTTATCTCTTCATCATATAAGGGGTTTAAGGTTTTTTCAAAATAAATTATGTTTTATCATCAATTACAAAATATTTTAAGTAATGAAAAATAATCTGCAGAAGAGTCAAAAGCAACAGAAAAAACACATTTAATTTTGCATAGAAAAAAAACACCTTATAAATTTTTAAAAAAAAATTCTAAAACCCTTATATTTGTACAACAGAGGGAGTAGTTGAAAGCTGTTCCAAAAAAAAAAAAAAAGAAGGGAGTAACTGAAAATGATTTAAATGTACTAGACTAAACCAAATGTAGTGTGGATTTGAATCCAAATATGTAATATTCAATGTACAGTAGTATCTTTTGTTACTAACCTTGAAAAATGGAAGATTTTGGAGAACATCCAATCAACATAAAGGCATTATCAGAAGTAGGATTGAAATAAGGAGCTGTCCAATCCTCAGCTTCAAAGCCACTGCCTTTGCCACCAAGCACAATCGTTTCACAAGTGGACATGTGAGGACCATGCAGCGTTATGGAGTGATACGCATAATTGTAGAGTTAGATCACAGAACTGCTTTAGTTTATTGAATGAACAAGTACAAGTATATATACAATCCTGACATAAGTCTAACTTATCTAGCTATATTCACATATATCCTATTATAATAATCAATATCCAATACTCTATAAGAACCTGAACTTATGTGAACATCAACACATCATTCATAAAAAACAAGAGATCTCTATACCCTGGATGCCCACATCCATTTCTGATCCCAAACGGATAACCAACCGTTATATTCCTACAGTATGATCTATATGCATCCACAATACAAAGCTCTGTGATTACTATAAGTATCAAAAGAATCAAGATTTTCATTAAAAATCGAACAGTTGTACGAATGTAAGAGGTTCCATGTGTTGTCATTACCCTTTGCTTTGCTTGGTTTATTGGTTCATGGATTTTAATGAATTTAAAAATCCAAGCTAAAATCCCTCCTTATTGGATTAGTAATTTTAAAATCTTTGTCAAAATCCCCCTTTATTCATTCATTCAATGATTCTAAATCCTACAATATATTAAAGACCATACATTTTTGCTGATGTGGCAAGCTCACAGTTTTTTGGACTCATTTTTGAATTATTTAAATAATTACATTATTATTCGGGTCGAAAAACGGATAAACACGCGGATCCTTAAAACATTGACGGATACTTACTTTATTTAACCCGGTTGCTGGGCTTTTAATATATTGTCTTCTATTATGGATCAAATTTAGGAATATGGATGGCCCAAAGTTAAGATTCTGCAAACTTCTTCGTTTCCATATATATATATATATTATATATATATATTTTTTATTTTGGTAAGCAGTTTCCATATATATATAATCGTCATAGTTAAGGCTGCATCTTATTGCTTAAAATCTAAATACGAATTCAACTTTATTTCCTAGATGTAATATTCGAATACTATATAATCTATGTATGATCCGATTAACAATTACAATGAAAACCTTCTTCCTCAAGTAAATTACTGTATTCCTTACTTTGAAGTGCCTAACTTAATTGTTTGAGAGATTCCTAAATTGTATATCCCGAATCAGAAGAGAATAGGGTAAAGTGATGTTCATATTTTCTATTGTATAACTACTTTCCTTGCGATAATGTATGACAATTAATGAGAAAGATATTGCAGACAGTGGCTTAACCTAAGTAGAGAAGCATCACCTCATTTTTCTATTTAAGCAGAGTATTCTACATGTTTGCCTCTCATCATCCTTCCGATCGAAATATTTAGGTTTGAGTTATCATATGAGGTTACTAATCAATCGTAGGTATGAAGGATCCTTCATCTCTCTCACTACTCATATGCTTCCTTCTTCGATTTGATCTTCCACTTTAATCCTCCCCGATTTTGGTTTCCAGCTCCGTTGACTCCTTTGTCTCTTTACAATCGTTACCACACGAAGAAGAAAAAGAAAGTTTTAACCTTTACTATGAAAGTTCCAACTGTTTCATATATATATATATATATATATATATATATTTTGTTTGTTACTGTCCGTTTTCATTTCTGCTTTGAAACTATGAGATCACAAAAAGGAATCTATGGTGAAACCACGTAAGCAAGCAAGACGATCTAGCCCCAATAGTGGACTATCTGTAGTAAGATTTAATTTGTTTTATTATCTATTGGAATTTGTGTTTGTTTGCTAAGTAAAATCTTTATGCGATTATAAATCATTTTTTCTGATCTATTTGGTTTGAAATTAGATGAAAACTTGAAGATTTCACTGTAAATATTAGTAAGTATTTAACATATTTATTTATTTATTGACTGATAATGATGTTATGATGATGTAGGATTTGAAATGGGTATTCGATACACGAAAGCGGTGAACAAAGAAAAACTATTATCACTCCGGAATCGGGAACTTTAGTTTGTTCCTATTTTTATACGTACGTTGTTATTTTATATATATATATTTTTGTAATACGTTGTACGTTGTTATTGGCGGTATCATTTGCTGCACCATTTATTCTTCCACACATCGTGTACAGGTATTTTATGGTTATACCCATTTAAATTATTATTTGTGTTAAAAATTAATTACACTTAGTTTGTGCTTTAAATTATGTATGCAGATACTTCACACATGGTCTATGGTCTCACATCTACGCCGGAAATGAAGCTTCCTTACAAGCAAACAAGTGGAAATGAAGATTTTAAAGAAATGTTTTTTTTACTATTAGAATTTTGTTTATTTGATTATTCAAATGCCAAGTTATTGCC